GGGCATGGTGTTTTAGAAATGGGCTCCATGCCCCATAACATCATCATTAAAGAGTTCTTTTATCTTTAAAAAGAAAATAACAATATGCTTTAATGCTCTTTCACCCCTGCACGAAAGGTATTATCGGAGGGAAAAAACGTCATCCTATTTTACATCCAACGACAAATATTGCTACTGATTGAAAAAGTTCGTCGCTGGATGTCTTTGAGTGCTTAAAGATTAAGATGTCTTGTGTGTTCTATTTTGGACATGTTTTATAAATAGATTAATTAGCTGTTCATTCAGGAACAGCTTCGCAGCCCTATTTGGATTCTTAACAGACGCCCCCCCCCCTCCCCTTTAGATAAAACCTCTCTCCCAGCTACATCTCTTCCTGCTCCTTGTTTGTGCCTTTCGCAATCATTTCTGCCATTTCAAGGCTTCAGTTTTAGCAAGAATTTTACATGGCTTGCAACAAAATTAGGTAATGTAAGTGTTGAAGAGTTTTTAGGTGTTACAAGAGAGAAGCAAGCACAAAAAGAAGCAGGAGAGTTAAGGACGACAGAAGTTTGACAGGAAAGAAGTAGCAAACTACACCAGAGCACCCGCCAACCAACCAAATGACCAGGCCTGTTTTAGTATGAGCTCGTAATATGCTTATCTTGATATTAAATATGCATATCTCTTTCTCATAGAATGGATGTTTTAAACGTTAACAGATCAGGTATTTTTAAAAATGCACAAGTTCTAATTTTGAACTTTGGACAAGATACTGTTGAACTATAATTTTAAGAAAATTAAAATATAACATAAAATTAAAATGTATAACTTAGTATAAATCAACATCTTTGGCTTCTATAGTAATAATGCAAACTTAACATGTGTTCAAAACAGACTCAATCTGAGACTTTTAAAAAGTAAAAATCAGGGTATCGACATACACACACTCCTTGAGTGATGAGAAAAAGTGGCAGAGCGTGAACTAAATAGAGGAGGAGAACCCTGTAGTAAAGAAGATGCGAACTAAAATGTCATGGATAAAAGTCAAACATCACCAAAAGAAAAAGAGAAAGAAACGGAAATATCAGATAGCAAGTGTTCTTTGTATCGTGTGTTCACTTCACATTGAGAGACAACAAATAAAGTGGTTTGGACGCGTTGTTAGAATCGGCCATAACAACGAGCCTTAACAAAGGCTCACAACAAGCGACTGGAGGTCAATATTGAGTCAAAGAGACCGTTCAAGAGCACAATAAAATTAATATGAAGATCCAAAAAGCAACACACTTGGCCTACGTACGAAAATCATAATAATATTATCTCCCCTTCGCTGTATAAGAGGACAGAAAAGATAACATAAGTAAAGACGATGAACCTGTCATCGGCTTCCTCCATCCACACACACACACACACACACACACACACACACACACACACACACACACACACATATATATATATATAATATATATATAATATATATATATATATATATATATATATATATATATATAAATTGCGTACGAAAACACAATAGTGAAGAGTCATTCTCATTACCGGTGAGTATCAACCATCTTCCCGGAGAGGAGTGCCAATTTCAGTTTGCTAATTCGATAGAACTCATCACAAAGAAACAGTTGACAGTGGCAAAAGTAGTACGAAAGTGGAAATTAAAAAGTAGCATCGATGTGCAAACAAAAGGCAGTTCATAAATATAAATTTAAAATGAAGTTAATGGTGAAGTAGTGAACCAAAATAAAAGGAGGCAAGTCTTTTGGGAACTTGGAAAGAACTATTTATTAACGATTTCAGTCGATGAAACATTAAAGAGCCACCTTTTTTATAAATGACAAAAATTCAAGGTGGCTTACAAAGCTTCACAAAATGCCAGTCTCGTATTACAAAGAACCGAGGGAAGGAAAAAATGTGTCGATTTACATATGAAACTCAAAAAATAACTGTAAATAACGAGTTATTGTTTTCTATCAAGAGGTGTACTAAACTGAGTCCAATGAATATGAATAAATAATATTAATATGGAAAATGTTTCTTATCGCCTTGAGGAAAACCCCTGGTACTTTGTAGATGACAATTCAATAACCCATTGTGTTACGAGTGGAAACCTGAAGTCTTTGCGAAACGTTCGCTGCCTCAGAATTACAAAGCGCTATCTGCTCAGCACTTGGTTTTGAGAAATCTGGCGTCAAAACTCTTGAATTTCTCAATAAGACAACTTTTCCGAACGCAGTTCTTAGAATGTCTTGAAAACGACTCCAAATAATCTTATGATTTTAATTTTAATAGACCAGATAGAAATTTTAGTTTCTGACCTTACGGTCGTAATAACTCAAAACGGCCAAAAGAGTCAGAGAGAACTTTGCAATTCTAAGGTAGCGCGTTCGCATTTACAAGTTGCATTTACTACCAGAAAGTACTTTCATCAACGTAATGTTTGAAAAAAACAAAAACATTATGTCGTTACGTACAGCAGCTAGAAATAGGACATCACACCAGAACACCCACCACCATTGCCTGCTGTTATGAACAGTGAATTACAAATAATCTCTCTCTCTCTCTCTCTCTCTCTCTCTCTCTCTCTCTCTCTCTCTCTCTCACTCTCTCTCTCTCTCTCACTCTCTCTCTCTCTCTGTCTCTCTCTCTCTCTGTCTCTCTCTCTCTGTCTCTCTCTCTCTCTGTCCTTCTGTCCTCCCCCCTCTCTCTCTCCTTCTCTCCCCCACCCCCCCTTCTCTCTCTCTCTTTCCTTATCTCTCTCATCCTTTTTGCTGGTCATTCATTAAGCTATTATCAATTTCATGCTTCCCAAGCCTTTCCAAAAAATTAACAATAAAGAAAGACACTAAAAAGCAGGAAGCTGGACACTCTTGAGACGAACCAGTATTATCAATCATTGCTAACCCGCTATTACACTCTCTATATTATCATTTCCTAATTTCCCGGGTCAGTAAATTGTTTTTCTGCCAATCAGGATTGAATTAAACTGATCACTGCTTTTAGTATAAAGGTATTTTTAGCTTTTTAATGAGAACATTCTGAAGTCAGAATTATAAGAATAGCCTCTGCCTCTACTGAACCTTGTCACTGGGAAAAAATAATATCGACAAACTAAATCTAAATCATTAAGCTTTCAGAAAGAGCCAATCTGGATGTGTAAAATATTATGGGGCTCTTTTGGGTGGTTCATTTAGTCCTTACGAAACTGAATAATTTGTTTGTTTTTATTTTTTTAAATAAAATCATCATATGGAAAGGTATCACGTTCTGAAAATGTATGATGTTGGGTCAACATACAAAAAGAATTGTCTTTAGAAATATTTACTAAGGCTAAAACATATCCAAACAATGATTGCCAAAGCAACGCATTCTTGTCAAATGAGAGTTTGAGTTCGCGTATAAGAAGCAAATCAACACAATAATAAGCATTAGTGCAGGGAATACGAACAATTTGTTTGTTTTGTTTTAGTAAGTAAAAGTTTAGTTTTAGTAGAGGTTTTATGGCACTCGCAACTGCATAGGGTCATATGAGCGCCAGAAGATTAGAGGTGTTACAAGAGAGTAACAAACATAAAAAGAAGAAGGGGAGATAAGGACGATAGATGCTTAATAGGAAAGAAGGAGCAAACCACACCAGAGCACCTGCCAACCACGAATACGTACGAGAGTAGGCAGAATTGGCGCCCTCCAAGCACCCACATAAAACAATTGTCATAAGTAAGCTTTTCGAACTCTAAAGCATACCGAGACATAACTGCGTAGAGCCAATTGTCAAAGCAAAGCAATCTTGTCAAAAACTGAGAAGCTTCAAAAGAGATTTAGACATCCAAACAAACAAAATTACGTAACAATTAACAAAAAAGGCATGCTTCTTAAAGACATGGCATCATTCCTCCAACGCATTTTTTCCTTTCCGTTCTTCTTTCTTTCATCTCCATTTTATTTTAAAAAAGATTCACCTTGAACAAATATATTATATGATGATCGTCGCTCGGCTTAAAACCTTTTTGTAACGAGTAAACGCTGAACCCGTAGAATCAGGGTTTAGATCTGATTAGAGAATATAATTAGGTAATGAAAGGCATTCATTTTTACTGGCAGACATGTATTAATGTGAGGTATCAAGGACAGTGTGGGAGGGGCTTCGTGTGACGGACAGAGAAATTGGACGTCAGATTCTTAAGATAACGATGAACTCCGGGTGAGTTTTTATGGTCAAAGATGACGTCACGAATAAAGAGGATTAATAACTCTCCCCCCTCCCTCCTCCCAATCAATCCCTGCCAACCCCCCCCCCCCCCCCCCGTTTTTTTTTGTAAGCCAAAGAAAAAACAGGAAAAAGTAAGCCAGATTTTGATAATAATCATTGAACCCGAAATAATCTAAACAGTCTTTAAAAAGATCAGAAATATCTGTAGAACCAATCGCAAATAATAGAGGCCGATGGAGAATCGTCAATAAAGTGAAGCAGTCAAAGGATTCACTAAGAAACTTTTAGATTTTAGTAAGGATTTTACGGCACTTACAAAGCTTTAGGTCATACAAGTGCCGAAGATTAGAGGTGTTACAAAAGAGTATCAAACACAAAAAGAAGGATGGGAGATAAGGGTGGTAGATGTTTGACAAGAAAGAAGGAGCAAACTACATCATAGCACCCGCCAACCAACCACTACTAAAAATATCATTGACCGGCACAAGTTGGACATAGTAACATTGTCAACTATGTCAACGTTTGTCCTAGAGGTTTAAAAAACAAACAGGAAAATATAAAAATACAACTATGGCTTTTGAAAGTGGGTTTTCAAAGCTCAGGCCTGTTAGCGGTACATTTATCAGACACAAAACACTTGAAGAGGATTTTTGTCAGAGTAACAATTTAAAAAGGCGTTATTCTGAAATCATAATTACCATTCAGACAAAAACTTGTTAGTTTTAGTAAACGTTGATTTTTTTCGACACAAGTAGGGTAACTCTGTTCGCAAAGCGGGCATTTTTTCAAAGAGGGCGTCACCGGATTTTGAGGTCATTTTTTAAAATTGGTTCAAAGAGAGGAGTGAACCATCTTGTTATACAGAATCTTTGGTAGCAGTAAACTACCACAATAATCACCTCATGACGCCAGCTCGCAATTTTTTTTAACAAATCTGAAGCACACAAGCAGCGCAGGCGTGTTTAATACTAGAACAAATAGTATATTATTTACTGGTATTCGAAAACACAGTGTCTGCTCGGACACTGACACGATCCTTCTAAAGAATAATTTTCCCTCTTTAAAAACATGTATTGCATTTTGATTTACGCCAAGAAACGAAACAATCACAATATTGGTTTTCGCCATTCTATTAACAGAAAAATAGAATGCAGTTTTATGCAAACTGCAAAGATGCATTGGTCCAAAAAGAAAGAGAAGCACGTCATTCTCAGAAAGAAAAAGACCCACAATGTACGGTACTCGCATTCATGCCGTGGTAGAAGGACACACGTGTCCGAATACACACAGGAGTTTAAATGGACACTTGTCCAAAGAGACGCAGCCATTGGAAAAAGTACAGAACACTCGCATTTTGGTACATATTGACCTTAAATATAACGAAATAATTTTTAAAAACCCAGGTAACAGAATAGTAGATCAACATAGCACATGAAATAACATTACAATCATTCAAAACTTTCATCGCTCACACAATCGTTTTAATTAAACATTGTGATAGATTCAAACATTGTTAAAAAGCTACAGGAATATGGATAAGAACGACTATAATACTTTTTGCGTAGTAATGATCATGCACTAAAAACATACACATTCAAGAACAGCAACAAAATTCATTGTTGGGGTGAAAGCTAAAACTCGCTCTCATGTGAACAGATTCAGGGTACTCGCACTGAGCTTTACAGACAAACATGTGTTTACAATGTCGCCTGGCAACAGCGGTGAGTAGTCTCGGACCTCCGTCTTGGTAGCAATGTCTAAACAGACAGATCTGATTGGTTCTTGCATCACGTGACCCAGCTGATGCCCACCAATGACAACCAAGCACCCACCAACATGAGCCAAACCAAACCGGACCCTAGGGTTCTCGCTCAGGTTCTTAAGGGTTGTCACGTGACTAAGATGTCTTTTGTCCGGCTCAAACTTGTACACCTGGGGGATATGAAACTGGTATAAGTTTGACTGTCAAAATCAGTAGCACTTTTCCATGTCTACATTACATCAGATGGGAAACATCAGCCATACTTCTCCGTGTCCACATTATAACAGACGTGAAAATTTCAACCATACTTTCCATCTCCACACGTTAATAATCAATAGATGGATGACTGAAATGGTATTGCGATGTAACAAGATCGTGTCACCTATCCAAGACCATTCTTCATGCAACTGTGCAGGGGAGGAGAAGAAGAGGAGGGCAAAGGAAGGGGTGGACCGCCAATAGTGCAGAATGGACAGGGAAATCTTTCTTTAGCCCAAACTCAGGCGCTCGCAAAAAAAAAAACAACGTGAAAATTGGAGGCACCTGCTGATGAGGCTCTTTGTCATACAGCGCCCCAACTTTCCTCGTGGGATTATGTGCTCAGTGACAGTGAGTGATTGTACATGTACAGCCCATAATATCCTCGCTCGACAAAATGCAAAGTTTTGCGATTTAAACTGTCAGCAGACCCTAGACCTTCCACCCTGAAAATTCTCGGCTTCTCGGGAAGCATAGAATGCAAGAAGCTTTGAGAACTCAAGCGGAAAACCAACACGATCTTTTGCTATCTATGGCCAGGTACCTATTTCCAAAGTGAGGAATCAGGCGCACATCAGTTATGGGGCATATAGAACTATTGATATCACCTTATAGTTTGTTCGCATGTCGTGTTTTTTTTTCTGGCGAAAAAGTACCCATCTATCTTGAATAGAATTTGAGATATTTATGATTGAAGGAGATGAACGTCGCCTGTTGCAAGATGTTAAAGTAATGAGAAAATACCCGCCAAAGTTTGGTGAATTCCAAAGTTTGAGTGTCCTTGAAAATACACATTTTCTGTGTTTGTGTTTGTGTGTGTGTGTGTGTGTGTGTGTGTGTGTGTGTGTGTGTGTGTGTGTGTGTGCATGTGTGTGTGTCTTTGATCAACGTCTTTCATAAAAATCCAAACAGAAATGCGTTTTACATGGATATAATAGTTGTTTAACAAATTATGAAAAATAAATTCATTAAATATACTTTTTCAAAACAAAATCTTTGAAAATTACCGAACAGGCAGAAAAAAAATGTTTCTTCGAGTTCATTATTTTGACGAGCGCGTGATTTCACCTCCATGGCATACAACCATACCTCCCCATGTCCACAGACAACGTAGACGAGACCATCCAGCCCAGACGTCACTGCACGTGCACTGAGCAGGCTTGGGGGCATCCCTGTCACGTCCACCTTGAAGGCTGAGTACAGGCCGGAACGGAGAGCCACAAAACACTGAAGAGAAAAAAGGAAAGGAGAAAACGTATTATCTGTCCCTATAAACAAGATGCATTTGAGAGATAGAAAGTCCAATGGAAAGAAGAAACATTTTATTTGTTCTTGATAATACTTTTGTTCATCACGAAATACTTGAATGAAAGAAAGAGAAGAAAAGAAAAACACATATTTTCATTAGAATTTATCCTTTTTAACATTTTGGCGAAACCTGAAGCACTTTAGAGTTAGAAGAGAAACGGAAAGAAAAGAAAAACTCATTACATTCGTCCTTTTTAACACTTTGGTTCAATACAAAATACCTGAGAAAAAGAAAGACATGGAATGTAGAAAACATCCTTTGATTATTTTTAGTACTTTGGTTCCATGCAAAGCACTGGAAATAAATTAAAAAGGATAAAATATTTCATTTGTACCTTTTTACACATTGGTTTAACACAAAACACGTGGGGATAAAAGGGGGGTTGAAGAAAATACTTTGTAATTAACTTCCGTTTAAAAACTTTGGTTCAAGACAAAGCCCTTGAGGGGAAGCTAGAAAAGTAAATGAGAGAACAATTTATACTTCCTTTTTGAACACTTTTGATTAGAGATCTATATTCATAGAAACCTTCGCCAGGTTAATACATGTTTGCCTAGCCATAGAGGAAGTGAACTGCCCAAATCGCCGCACTAGAATCAGAAAAGTGTATCTGCCCAGTGCCTAGTTTGAAGAAATTTGACGTCAATTCTTTTTTTTAGTTTGACAACTTGTCAAGTTTTTTCGAATGCATTTCTTTGAATATCTTGATAACTCCGAATAAGCTTATGATTTTGCTTGAGCAGATAGCACATTTGGTTTCTGACTCGTGGTCTTAGTGACTCAAAACGGCCAAAAATGTCAGATAGAACTTTGTAATTCTGAGGTAGTGAAGTACTACTTGCCTTAGGAATATTATGGAATGCTCCGAATGAGAGACATCTTCAATACGTTTTGAATCTAGGAAAACCTATGTATGTGTGTCTTACTGTTTAACAAGTGTGACGGGGCTTTACATTTCAACACAAAGAGCCTATTATTCCATTGCATTTTCTTCTCGTTTCACCTGTACAAGTTCAGTTTTCGAAACAGGTTTGCGGCACTTGCAACACAATAATTATCAGATCACATCATTTTTTTGAATGTGTAAGAGTTTAACCGTATAGGCAACGCAACAAGGTCATATAACTTAATAAGGGCCAAAGATTTAAAGAGTTATAGAAGAAAAAAGTAACAAACACAAAAATACATAAGAAATAGGAACGACAGATGCCGTTAGGATTAAACGAGCAAACCACACCAGAGCACCCGCCAGCCATCCATAGGTCATACTATCATAAGCACCGGAGGTAGCATTAAAGAGTAACACACTTAGAAAAGAAGGAAATACGACAGACTTTTTTAGGAATAAAGGAGCAAACCACACCAGAGCACCCGTCATCCACCCACATATCCTCATATTATTATCATGAGACCCGGGGGTGAGTAAGTAGAGAGTAACATACAAAGAAAAGGAAAAAAGTTTTAAAAATGGACAGTATACTAATTTGAAACAAATGAAGAGCCCCAGAGCACCCGCCAACAACCCACCCACTCACCTGTATAAGCCGGAGAGGCTGACCGCAGTGGTCCACACCGCCCAGGAGATAGATGGCGCCACCGCTCAGAAACGCCGCCATGTTGTAAGCAGGCACGGACAGCTGACCTACTTTGACCCAAATGTCCTTGCTGATGATGTAAGCGTCTACACTGTCTAAAACTGCAATAAAAGAGTGATGGGTTTGTTTGTTTTTTTATAGATTGGCAGTCTACTACTACTACTACTACTACTACTACTATTATTATTATTATTATAATTATTATTAAATCTATTATTATTATTATTATTATTATTATTATTATTTTTATTATTATTATCATTAGTAGTATTATTACTATTACTATTATTATTATAAACAGACCCCTGCCTCCTAAAACCGATTGCCCGACTCGCGGTCCTGAAAACAAGCGCGTTTGTTTTTGAAAGTCATTGTCGGTTTCGTTTGGTTTGAGCCACTATGGCACCTTTCCTCCCTCCGTGAAAAAAAAAATCTGACTAGACTCCAGGACCAAACCGGATTGAACCGAACGAAACCGCACCATTCTGGTCAATGGGCACCGGGTATTAGAAAAAGGCTCAGACCGACTCAGATGCAGCACCGAGCACATTGATTTGTAGTTATGACTGTGGGTATCACGTTTACACCAAGTATCTAACATTTCGCTACCCTAGAAGTACAACGTTTTATCAGCTCCGTACCTAGTTTTGAGAAATTTGAGGTACAAACATTTGAGTTTCACAATATGTCAAGCTTTTTCGAATGCAATTCTTGGAATATCTTCACAGGAGAGTGACTAACGTACTAAAGGAGTCGAGGTAAAATGACGTTAGTAAGGGTGAGGAAAGAAAAAACAGCAGTTCCCCCTATGTTGTTCCGGCACAGTATGAGCATCGCATTGATAAATCAGCCCATATACAATTATATTGTGCATAAAAACATATTAATATCCCCTCCCCCCCTTTTGGGAATGACCTGAAGACACTTCAGTCAGTAGCACTGACCTTGGGGGGGGGGGGGGGGGGTAAGCAATTGAAAGTTTGTTTTAGTAAGTGTTTTACAAGAGAGTAACAAACACAAAAAAGCAAAAAAAAAGGAGAGGATATAATGACGATAGTTGTTTGAAAGGAAAGAAGAAGCAAGCCAGACCAGTGCACCCGCCAACCACCCATTTTATGGAAAGAAATACTGAAACTGACACTATAGCATTATATTATGTCACATCAAAGGCATTTCATGAGATAGAATACTAGATCTGTTGCCTTCAGTTGGGCTGGACACAATTGATTTTAATTTTCAAGACGGAACGCTTAGTTTTCATTAATTACAACCAACCGCAGGCCATTTATTAAAATGTTAATTACTGGGTTGACTCGAGGGCAAGATTGAAACTGCTTGCAGGCCCGATCAGGCCCATGGGCTGTAGAGCGTCCAAGCCTGCCTGAATAGGCGGTTTTGGAACTTCCATTGCTAGGGGGAATTTTATAAATTCACCAATGGTGGGGGGGAGGGGGGAGCATAAGCTTCCTTTTTAAGTTTCACTTAAGCTTTAAAAATCCGCATGAGTGAGGAAAATAACATCATGCTTCTTTTTACGGCCCAAAACAACGCGTCTTCAAGCGCTATCGAAAGACTAGAACGCGCATCTAGCGAGTAAAAAGGAAGGTTGCACTCCTATCACACGTCGATCAAAAATTCGGGTTCCAAAGTTGACATAATGTTGACCAAGTGGTAAGATATGAAGCAGGGAAAAGGGAACAGAAAGGACAGAAGCGATACAACAAAGTCACAAGCACACACACTCTCTCTCTCTCTCACACACACACACACACACACACACATACAGACACACACACACACACACACACACACACACACACACACACACACACACACACACACATACACACACTCACACACACGCGCGAGCGCGCGCACATTTTCTCTCAACATGTATCACGCATACATCGTAATATGAGTGAGAATATACAAATATATAGATATAGCATAAAGCAGTGTAACAATTATAATGTTGAGCGATATGTACACTGCGTTATGACCCAAAAGTAAGGAATTTGTTCCCTAGGTGATGTTAATGATCAATTTTTGATCTTTACGTCCTCATCGACACTTCAGATCATTTAGGAGGTGGACATTTCAACTCTGTCTTGGTCAACCAATGCAGGGAAGAGTACAGCGTCCTAGCAAACAGAAGGCACACTTATTCACTCATAAAAACAACAGTTCGCTACCCGGGAATCGAACTCTGGTTTTCTGTGTTCGGCGGAGAACAGCCTAACCGCTACACAAACAGACACAGATAAAAAATAAGTTAGCATTGCCATTACTTCCAGCGACGTGACTTCTTTGTTTTAGTTACAATTTTACGGCACTTTCAACATAATTAGTTTTTAAAAGGGCTGAAGGTTATAGGTGTTACAAGATAGTAACAAACACAAGAACAGAGAAATTGGAGAAATAAGGACGACAGATGTTTATTAGAAAGAAAAAAAAATAGGAAACCACACCGGAGCACCCACTAACCACCCAAAAATGTTTCCAATCCGTCACGATACAACGTGACAGAACCCATGGAAGCTTTTAATTCTCGGCAATAAACAGACAATTAGTAGATGGGATCGCACATACAAAGCCGATTCCAATGCGCAGTATAGTTACGTTCGTAGTAAGGGATGAGCTGATTGCACGTACTAGCGATCACTATATTATGTAAGGCATCGTGGTGAAATCAGCCGCTCGTCCAAAAAAAGATTCTGTTTGTTACTGTCTTGTAACAATTCGGCTTTTTATGACCAGGATGTGTTTCACGTGTCGTAAAACATTTACATAAACAATAGAGTGGAATTCATGTTTCAACTTTTCACTCACAGGATTTAAAATAGGGCGTGCGTTTAGTTGTCGTAACTAGGCTATGTGAAAGATTTAAAATGTTCTGAATGTTCTGAATGAGCTAAATATTAACATTCGGAGAACATTCCGTTTTGGCTAATGTGAAGCATAAAAGTAAAGTTCGACACCACTGCACATCTTAACATTGTAAGATTATTAAATAGTTGGTTGGAACCCCCCCAAGGTAGAGAAAACGTAAAAGTTAAAGATTAGGAGACTTTTGAAAACTACCTGTGACAACACAAACTCATAAACGCCCCTTTGGAGATCCTAACCAGGGTTGAGGAAGGAGGTCAGGGGTGTATTATTTCATCCTCACTAGGCGTGACTTCAAACTATTAAAACAAAGCTTGGAAGAATAACGCTGTGGTCATTTATCACAATTCCCCTTACTTCTTATATATCATAAGACATCAACAAATCTTTGTTTGCTCAGTGTGTTGAAACTATCGTCAACTATTGCAACATTCTTCAACTCACACCTGAGATATGTTTGCTTTTGGAATTAAACAATAAGAATATGAGGTTTTTTTAAATGATACCTTGAAACGTTTTAAGACAATAATTATAATCTTTTCATTGGCGCTTAATAGATAACAAATAATTAATTAATTACTGCGTTCTGAACATTAAAAAGGCAGAAACTGACGTTACCTGTGTATCCTCGTTTATCCTGGCCACCCAGGCAGTACACACAACCACGTGACGCAACCATACTGTGGAACTTACGGCCGCGTGGCATTTTGGCGTGAACTTTGATTTGTCCAGAGCTTGTATCTACAGACCACATCATATCCGTCGCGAACTCGCCACCTGGGACATGGAAATATAATAAAATTATACTGACCATACATTGTTTAAAATAAAGTAGATGAAAAGGGGACAGGGGGCTACTTCCCTTTACTTGCAACAGTTATTCTGTCTAAAAGTACGTTTCTAAGACTATAATAATTATGACATAGGGTTTTATCTAATACTGATTCGATTGAATTGATGTAAGCAGTGCGTTTCAGTTCAAGGCGGGTTTGCTGGGTAAAAAGCCTTATTTCAAGCAGAGATAATAATATAAGGGAAGAACAATAGTGGCTCAACACACTGTTGGAAAATAAATGAGATTATACGAATTTGATGTTAATCAATACAGATTTTGTTTATAAAATACATTGCAGGTTTTTTTGTTCCTTTCGTATTTTAATAGAGTTGACTAGTGAAGTTTTCAGACCTCTATTTATTGCTTGAACGAAGTACCCAAGAATTAAATAGCCCTGTACAACAATATCATAGAAACAAAAGTTTTTAAGTTTGTGAAAATGCTTCTTGTGTGTACAATGGTTAAAATATAGAGGGCGTCATTCGTTATTTTTTAAAATCCAAGCTGAATCTTGGTTTATGTTTAGTTCAGCAATAGTTTTACGCATTTGCAGTATATGACAACTTTAAGATAAGATAAGATAAGATAAGATAAGATAAGATAAGATAAGATAAGATAAGATAAGATAAGATAAGATAAGATAAGATAAGATACCTGTGAACATAAAGATGCATCTTATCTTATCTTATCGTATCTGATCTTATCTTAAATGTGTCATGTATTATTGCCAATGATAAGGGGTGCTGCTTGCAAGTAATATTAAGAAACAAAACTGGAGGAGAGATGAGGACGATATTTAGATGGGAAAGATAAATTTTTTTTTTATCACGAAAAAGGAAGTGAGCTTAATTGTTAAAGTTGGCATTTTGTAACCATTGCTCAGACTGTTCGTAATCTTTATTTTAGTTGATTCAGTAATTTTATCAATAAAAGGTGTCGCAAGTACATTATAACTCTTACTGAAACTAATATCTTTAATATCCACAGTTGTCCTATCACTTCAGAGATGCGAATGTAAGTAAAGAATTTGTATCCGTCTACGTCTCAGCAAAGCCGTTCGTATTGATCAGATAATGATTCTGAACTCAGAAGCGGGAAGATCTTTTGCTGCTATAGATTTAATTTTGTCAAAAACTCTAAAAACGGCACTGTAAGCGAGAAGACAATGACAATTTTATATTTTTAAAAAGGAAACACTTCGATCCATTATGAAAGCTTAACAAAAGCAAGGATGAACGGTTGCCAATCGGTTAAAGAACGGCGGGATCTAGATTTCTGTTCTTGTGTTCCTGGTTGTTAACACTAATATTTCTTATTTCAGAAGTGTCCTTAAAGACAGACTGGTGAAAATATGATCAAATTGCCAACTCGAAGTTTAACTTGGTATTAGCGAGACCACGTACGTGGGCCATGCACGCGCAGGTGCGAACGTAAACACACACAGACAGACACAGACAGACACACACACACACACACACACACACACACACACACACACACACTCACACACTCACACACACACATAAACAGACACATACATATAATATATATAATATAATACATGTTACAATAAGAACACGTACCCAGTGAATACGCGTAATCACTGAATATTTCAGTGAAAACGCGTAATTCCTGTCTCAATCAGAAGATTTCACGTAATCACTGAAATAATCAGGAATTACGTGAAATCCCCGAAAAAATGTCACAGTAATTACACGTAATCCCTGATCAGACATGTGTAGTTAATGCAAAAGTTTATATAGATATATATACTAACTGGGCCCCCTTTCGATGAAAGGAATGATCGGTGCATTAACGTCAGCCGAAAGTCATTGGCTTATGATATTTACATTCTACTGGAACGGAGCAATAAATCTTGAAAGATGCAAAATTAGAAGGTTTAGATCTGTACTCTCAAAACAGTGCGCACGGTTAGTGAACGGAAACCTCCTTTTCGAAAATTACAGAGACGGAAGCGTCGGCCTAAAAAGCGATCGGCAAAATAAAGAAATCTAGCTTTGTGCAGCAAAACTGTCTCAAAACTGTCTCAAAACTGAAAAAACGAAGGGCGTCATGATCTGGAGAATATTTTAAAGAATCTTTTGGTGAAAACAGCATGTCGATCGATGCAGCCATTAAAAAACCTTTTGAATAGCAAAATTCGGCCACCACAAATAGATAATAGATATAGATATAATATATATATATATATATATACAGACATGTATAATATATTTTTATATACACGCGCAAGCGCGCACGCACAAACACACACAGAAATACTATATATATACACGTTAAGAGATAGAGCGAGAGAGAGAGAGAGAGAGAGAGAGAGAGAGAGAGAGAGAGAGAGAGAGAGAGAGAGAGAGAGAGAGAGAGAGAGAGAGATGTTTGTTTGTTTTAGTGGGGGGTTTTAAGGCGCTCGCAACTGCATAAGGTCATATGAGCGCCAGGGGATTAGAGGTGTTACAAGAGAATAACAAACACATAAAAAAGGAGGAGAGATAAGGACAATAGATGTTTTTAATAGGAAAGAAGGAGCATACCACACCAGAGCACCCGCCAACCACCCAGAGAGAGAGAGAGAGAGAGAGAGAGAGAGAGAGAGAGAGAGAGAGAGAGAGAGAGAGAGAGAGAGAGAGAGACAGGGGGGTGGTATATGAAAAGAGAAATAGAAAAAAAGGGGGGGGGAGAGATTGTGAGCGGGAGGTAGGAAGGGAGGGAAGAAGGGAGGGAAGGAGAGACAGACAGAAAAAGAGACAGAGAGAGCGAGAGAGGCAGAGAAAGAGAATGAAAAAGAGAGAGATAGAGAGAGAGAGAGAGAGAGAGAGAGAGAGAGAGAGAGAGAGAGAGACAGACAGACAGACAGACAGACAGACAGGCAGACAGAGACAGAGACATTGACCGGGACAGAGACAGAGACAGACAAAGAAAATTGCGGGCAGGTTTTCCCCAACAAAGAAAATTCAAGAATAAATAGCAAATAAAATTGATGTTTTTCACTTGTTAGACTAAGAACATGGGTCTCCAAGCTACATTTAGTACATGACCTTAAAATGAAACGAAAGATGGTTTTCTTCAAGCTCATCCAGAGGCATAGAATGCAATCTATTGTCTCAGCTACTCTCATCCACTTCTGATAGGCATAGCCAGTGCCTTAATGTCCTCTCGAATAATTGGAGGATTAGAAAAACAAAGGGTCTCAGTCATATTTAGCTAAAAATAGAGTTCTTAGTTTCAGTGAGAGTTTTGCGGCACTTACAACAGAATAATGTCATATAAGTTAAGAAGATTAGGGGTACTACAAGAAAGTAACAAGTAACAAACATAAAAAAGGAAGGATAGATTAGGATGATAGATATTTGATAGAAAAGAAGGAGCAAACCTCATCAGAGCAGCGATGATGCCAACTTCCCTCTCCTTTCTCTCTCCCTGTTGCCCAAACACACACACACACACGCACATACACACTCACTCACACACACACATGCACATACAAACACGTGCGCGTGCACGAACACATACACACACACACACTCATTCTCACACACACACACACACACACACACACACACACACACACACACACACACACGTGCACACCCTCACAAACACATACACACATACACACACACACACATACACACACACACACACACACACACACACACACACACACGTGAAATAACAAAAACAAAAGCAACCAAAACAAAATCCCTCCAATATCTATTAGTACTGCGACCATATTATGGTATGTTATTAGTGCTGAAGGGAAAGTAGTTTGTTTTGTAAAGTGTTTTACGGCGCTCGCAACTGCATAAGGTCATATGAGCGCGCGGGACACACCTAATATTTTCAGTTGGTAGGAAATTTTGAATTTTGCCCGGGTGGCGGCCGAAGCCTACTCTTATCGATTTTAGACCACCAAGGGATCTTTAACGTGCGCAACTTGCACACGGGCCCTCCGAGATTTTTCGCCCTTGTCCGAGAAGGCTAGGTGTAGATCTTTCCTACCAGAAGATCAGGGGTGTGGCAGAAAGACAGTAGTAAGGAGGATCCAAGCAGTAGCAGTAGAAAGGCTGCAGAAAGAGTCAAGAGCCCAGAGGAGGGGGCAAAGGAGGTGAGGGGGTGGGTGCAGAAAGTGGAAATGAAAGCAGACAACAGAACATTGCTACAGAGCAGGAAAGGAGGTGAAAGGAGACAATTTTAGAGAAGAAAATTTTTTTGGTCGCTACGCGGTTTCGAACACGGGACTTTTGAATGAGAGGCCAACACCTTAACCTCTAGGCCACGAGAGCCCCCAGGGGAAAGTAGGGTGCATAAATTAGTACGGCAGCACAAATCAAGGGAGATTACACAACATAGCATATGTTGAAAACATGACCGAAAGACTTCAAACCAGAGTAAGAGCCTGCACAAATTACCCAAAGTCAGTAGTATACTACCTTACCTAATTAAGCAAGCTGTGTTTTGTTTTAGTAAACGTTTTACGACACTTGCATCTCAAATTATTAGGTTTTATAATTGTCGAAGATTGGTAGAGGTGTTACAAGAGCGTAAAAAACTTTTTCAAAGGAGGAGAAGTGATAAGATCGATATAGATATTTAATATGAGGGAAGGAGAAAATCATATCACAGGCAGCCTTTTGCACCTTTTTCTTTAAAAAAAAAAATATGGAACCATCTCCGTGTGATTTAGACCCATGCATAGAGGAGATGTAGAAGATTTAAAGATGCCATAATACATAATTTTTTTTGGTAGAGGTTTTACGGCGCTCGCAGCTGCATAAGGTCATATGAGCCTAAGATTAGAGGCGTTACAAGAAAATAACAAACATAAAAAAGAAAGGGAGATAAGGACGATAGATGTTGGATAAGATAGAAGGAGCAAACCGCACCAGAGCACCCGCCAACCACACACATAATATATTTGATAGGAAAAAAAAAGCAAACCAGGGTAGTAAGACACCCGCCAACAATGCATCACAAAAAAACCAAACCCACCAGTAAAAAAGATCTTGTCGCCATAGCAACACACAGAGGAGGTGCTGTCAAAGACGAAGGGCGTCGAGGCTGGTGTGGGCGTGGCGCTGAAGCTGTTGACCTTGTGGTGAGCGCCGTCTATGATGGAGTAGAAGTGAAGGCCTTTGTCCCGGTCTGCCGTCCACAGGATGAAGTCCCTGGTCGGGAACAGTCGGCGGGAGATGCAGTTCTGGCGGGGCCACGCCAGGCGTTCGCAGTAGTCCAGGGTGCTGGTGGGAGACCAGGGTTGGAGGTTTGGGTTTAGTTAGAGTTTTACGGTAGAGTGGGAGCCGACAAGTGAAGGTTTGGTTTTAGTAAGAGTTAAACGAAGAGCGACGGAGCCGAGGAGTGAAGATTTGGTTTAGTAAAAGTGTTACGGTAGAGTGGGAACCGAGAAGTGAAGGTTTGGTTTAGTAAGTTTTATGATAGATTTTTATTCTTTGCTGGGTTTTTTTTTTGGGGGGGGGAGGTTGGGGGGAGGGGTTGTAATGAAAAGTCAGACAAAGCAATAATGGTCATATCGTACTGGGGAAAAGTAAGAAAGATGACAGACAGAAACAACAGAGGGAAAGACAAGAAAAAGGACATACCAATGGTACCCTAACCACGGTGTATACTGGAAGAAAACAGATGGCCAAAAAGATGCCCTGAATGAAGACCAAGAACAGGAAAAAGGTCAAGAGGAAGACCAGAAAGAGGGTGGCAAGGTGACATATAAGAGATACAATATTATAATTTCATTGAGAACTATGCCAATTCGTGCTTTCATTTATGTTTGCGGGAATTTATTATTAAAAGATTTTTTTGTAAATGTATTAGAGAATTTCAGAGCTATTGGCAGTTAAGAGGTAAAAATTTGGGGTGGGGTGGGAGGTTGCAAAAGGTAGGGGGTGGAGTTTGGCTCTCCTGAGCGGTTTATGAAACTGCGTTTACCGTCTTTAAAAATAAAACACCAGTGTGATGGCTGGAAATGTGCCCCAACATTGTCTTTGGCCTGCTGTTGATCGAAAATGTGTGTCTGCAACAGGAAGTAGATTTTCTAATGCAGGGGAACATTTTGATTAATCAAATTTCATTAACACCACCCCCCCTCCCCCAAACAAAAAAAACACAGCCCCAAAGCAAAATAAAAAGGAGCTTACGTGGTTTCATTTTCAATATTAAGAAAATTACTGACGAGAACAAGAAACGACGGATAGAATGATTCATTTTAGATGCAAAAGCGTTATGTTCCCGTGATCTCTCACCTATATGCCCGAGATTCTTCCACAAGGGCCATCGCAAGGGCATTCTCCCTTAGCAGACTGATTTCGCAAACTGTATCCAGCTCTTGTGAAGTCATTAGTGGAAATCGGATGTGCTGCAACATCAATGTCATGTCTGCGCTCCTCTCTTCAGGTCGAACTTTGACCCATCTGAAACAAGAGCAACATAGAACATTATCACATTGTTATAGGACAGGTGGCCGTCAGAGTAAGTTTGGTTGCCTTTTTTACTGTGTGAGTGGAAGAGACAGGGGGTGTGGTCATTTGTGCAGGTTATTTTCTTGGACAAATGTCCATGACAGCAGGTCCAATCATTTGTCAATTTGGGTGTAAACCATGAACAACGAATTACACGTATGTGTTTAGTGTGTGAGTAGTGTGAGATGGGGTGATGGGAGAAGTGGTCTGTTGTGCGGGTGACTGTCTTGGACAGTGGGCCACTAAAACAGAACACTATGAACAAATAGCTATTTGTTTGGTATATGTGGTAGAGGGAGGGGGTTCTGGGGGGTAAGGCGATTGGTGGGTAAAGACTCACTGAAGACGTGGTCGTTTGCACAGGTAATTGCTCTCGTTATATGACTGTTGGAGCAGGTTAATATGAGTAATCAATTATTTGATTAGTGTGTGTGTGGGGGGGGGGGTTACCTGAGTAAAGCCTGTAGCACCATCATCTCTCCCTGCACGTGCAGCATGCTGTCAGCCACCAGAGGGATCATGTGATGTCTCCCCAGAGCCAAGAACTCATCCGTGCTGGACAGCTCTCCAAAGTGCTCCCTGATCACCTGCACACGGCATCGACGTCACAATCAGTCGAATAATATGTGGGGCATTGTAGTCAAATCAGGCGCTTATGAAAATAATTGAATCAAAGAAAAGTTGCCATGCCGTGTAGATTTTACTTAAAAACGTTATGGGCTTATGGTTTTCAAGGACTCACGTTCTTTGGAAGTCAGCAAACTTTTGTTGCCATTTTTTCTCTACATTTACCTCAGAAGCTAAGTGACTCCTACCTCCTTCAATAAGAATTATCCCGACTTCTAATGAAGAAAGATAGGTAATTTTAAAAAAAAATCGAAAACAGGATAGATAAACACCAATAACTCCGTATGCCCAAAAATTGACGAGCGCCTGATCCCACCGCGTCGTCACACATATCGTCCGTGACCGACTTTAACAGTGTATTCGCAAAATTAGGGCAATGTAATTTATTTGTTTCTGATTGTCTTCCAGAATTCCTGAAAATGCAGAGGAAACAGGCGCTTGTCAGATCTTACAGAACGGAGAATTCAACAGAAATGTTCCAGCCTTTTGGGTGATTTTTACCGAAATTTTTAGCAGCAGAAACGTTTCCCATCTACTAAGAATGACATTTAAGAATGAATTTTATAGGAAAAAAAAGTTGTTAAAGCCAAAGCGGTTTTATTTTATAGAACTGGTACGCGAAGACAGATTTATTGTCGACCTCTGATACCAATTTACCCCACCTCCTTCAATTGGAAATAATCGACGTATGAACGATACTACAAAGACAAGACAAATAAACAAGTTTTAAAATAATATAATTTGCCCCTTATGCTAAACAATAGACGAGCGCGCTCCTGACTCCATCGTTTCGTGACACATATAGCTGCTGTTGATTGAGAGAGACAAAAGGAAATGGGCGAGAGAAAGAGAGAGACACAGAAATGGTGGAGAGAAGAGAGAGACTGTGATATATATATATATATATATATATATATAGATGTGTATTTGTGTGTGTGCGTGTGTGAGTGTGTGTGTGTGTGTGTGTGTGTGTGTGTGTGTGTGTGTGTGTGTGTGTGTGTGTGTGTGTATGTGTGTAGATACAGAGAGGGGGAGGGGTGGTAAGAGAAGCACGTGAGGTATACTAAAGAGTAGCAAGCAGAAAAGATAGAACGATATGGATGAAGGATGTTTGATAGAAAAGACGAAGCAAACGTCACTAGAGCACCGGCTAACCACCCATTGTTTATTGATTGAGTGAGACAACAGCTAAAATAACGTACTTGATGACTCTTTCTGATGACTTTATGGTCGAAGAGGCGGGCACAGCCAGAGTCGCACAAACTGATGACGTCAAACACGTTGCTAGGCGACAGTGTCTCCGTGATGTAACTAGCACATGTCTGAGTCAGGTAACCAAGTTGGAGAGTGTCCGCCGCCAGCAGCAGCTCCAGAGAGTTTTCTTGTGAAATGACGTCATCAAAGACGCAATACATGAAGTCTAGTATCTGTGGACGGATAACGACACATACAAAGTATCTGTGAGGCAGCGTGTTGGAATCAGGCTCTCGTCAAAATAATCAAAGTGAACAAACTTGCATTTTTCCGCAGGTTTGTGAATTGTTATCAATTTTTGTTTTTCGGCTCAACACCTTATTTGCCCAATAAATAATTCATTTCTGTGTTTATTTTTCTGAAAAGCGTTGATTAAAGGCAGAAAAGTGTAAATTTTCAGTTATCACGGACTCTTAAGCTAAGGAAATAACTAATCTTTGGCGGCCATTTTCTCACTAATTGAACCTCTGAAAACAGGTGACCCTCACCTCCTTCTTTCGCAAATATCTCGACTTGTATTCAAGATAAATGTATATTTTTTTTCATTCAAATAAAGACAAGTGAATAAGCTTTGAGATGATATCAATAACTCAACATGCCCAAAAATTGACGAGAGCCTGATTCCACCACGCTGCCTCTCATTTCGTTATGATGGCTTCGACCCTGCCTGTCACGGCCAACCCGTGCTAATAGAAAAACAACATCCCGACAGAAAGAACAAGATTCTTAATAAAAATTCACCCCACTTGAGAATCGAACTCGGGTCTACGCGTGCATCAGTGAAGCACCTAACAATTACACCAAAAACACCCATAAAAACGACACAAATGGTCACACAAATCACCAAATCAAGTTAATTAAGTATTCCTATTAATATTATTGTCAGGAACGAGTTAGTAAAGTGATAACAATAATCATGAGAAGCAAATGGCTAACATAGAATTACAAGGTTCCATCTAATCTGTACGTAGTTTTGAGCAATTCGACATCAAAGAATTTAAGTTTCACATCATGTCAAACATTTTCGAATGCAATTATTTGAATTACTTGATAACGACTCCAAATATTCGCACGATTTTGATAGAGCCGAAGGAACATTTGGTTTCTTACCCCATGGTCTTGGTAACTCAAAACAGCCCAAAATGTCGGATAGAACTTTGTAATTTTAATTTAGCACAATGCCTACACCCTCCCTCAAGACAATTAGACCATTTACGAGGAGTTCTTCTTCGACCCTGCCTGTGATTTCCTACCCGGGCTGAGCAGACTGAACAAGTCCAGTCGAAAGTCGGAGAGTCTACGTACGTGAATCGAACCTTCGTGTTCTGCTTGTAGCAGTAAAATGTCTACGTGTCGGTGATGTTATCTGTCATCGTAAATTCTTTTAAAAGGTTTGATTACGACTCTTTACAAATCGTGTCTAAACAGAGTTTTAAAACCCCCAGTTTTTCGTGTGTGGTTTTATTGTTTGTTCTTTGTTGTTGTTGTTTTGGTTGTTTTGTTGTTTTTTTTTTTTTTTTTGGGGGGTAGTTTGTTTGTTTTTTAAATTAAGAGCTTAGTAAACAAAGCTGTATAGCTTGAAAGGATTCTTTGATGTCGTTATCGGTTTGGGTTTTTTTGTCCTGTACCTCGATTTGGTGCTAGATATAGGTGTAAGTTGCGAAGAAAATAAGTCAACGTGGTAGTATAATCGTTATGTTTAAAGAAGAAACAAAACGGGATAAAAGATATATTGTTTGGTATTTGATGGTGGTAGTGGTAATGATGATGATGATGATGATGATGATGATGATGATGATGATGATGATGATGATGATGATGATGATGAAAACGATCATGCTGGAATGTTTAGAACAATGTGCAGAATTAATCTGTTTGAAAGTATTCAATATTGTATTCACAAACGAAATGCCGGCTCTTTCTTTACCTTGTTAAAAACCTCAGGCTGAATGCCGTTCAGAACGAGAGCATCAGATCTCTCCACTGTAGTCGCCTTCCTCACACCACGTTTTTTATTCTCTCTCCCTCCTTCTTCACCCTCTCCAGCCTCTCCTTTTCCTCTTCCCACATCATCTCGACCCTTCTTATTTGTTTTATCTTTGAGACTATTCTTTCTATCACATGCGCTTGTGACGACATCACTCTTGTTATCGACAGAGACGTTCCGTGAGGCGTTATCCATATCATCTTTCTCTCCATGATCAGCACCCTCTATCATAAGTCGGAAGAAAGGGGAGCTGTTGGCCAGAACAAACTTGTGACACCTGGAAGCCGCCGAAGATAAGATAAGATATTACTTATTATGGGACTCGTCACCTCTTTGAAAAGCACAGTTGCGAGCGCCGTAAAACACTTTACAAGAACAAAAAAACAACAAAAGCACATTCCAATATGACTCACAGAAGTTCCTCAACAAGGACATTTTAGAGAAAATGATAATAATAAAGATGATTTATTTAGCGCCAGCTCTCTGTTAGCTTTAAGCGCTTCGTCATTTAAAACAAAATAGTTCGACACGTCATGTCTTGCATACTTGTCTATTCATCGTACAACAATTTTTGTTCAAATACATATCGGCTGTTTTCTGTAACACTCCTTTATGTCAGTTGTTTTTAACTGGGAGTTGAGAGGATCCTTACACTGAGCAGTTGATAAACTCAAATAATCTGACAAACGAGCTCGCACTCGCGCGCGCACACACACACACACACACACACACACACACACACACACACACACACACACACACACACACACACACACACACACACACACACAAAGTCAATCACTGTGTGTGCTGATTTAGATACATTTGCTGACAATCTGAATACTGAAGAATTGTTCACAGTCGGAACTTAGGGAGCACACCACTGGTTAACAAAACAACAGAGTTGGTGCGGTATGGCTCAAGTATTGCTCAAAGCTGTTTACAGAACATGACACGACCATTTGGTTGCGATTCCCAGTAGCCTAACCATCGAAGCCACTCACACAAAAATGTTTTAAACCACGAAAAAAAAAAAAAAGATTCGTGATACCAGTCACGTAGCACAACATACCTGAACTCTTGACCCCTGACTTTCACGGTGAGGTCAGCAAATTGCCCGCCTTTTCTCAACTGCTGGATTCCCGTTAGTAATTGAAACACCTGATTCTGTCGGGGATCACAGAAGGTCATTTCCTCTCCAGCGACAGTACCAGAGGTCAAGGTCGAAGCAGCAGCGGAAGTTTTCTTTGCCGCTGTTGCTGATTCTTTTGTCCCCGCATTCTGACAAGGGTCTGCGTCTGTTTCTGACTGGTTGTTATTTTCTCCTGAAATTTTGGCCGGCGGTAAGGAACCCGCGGAAAACTCGTATTTATGATCGGCATCATTCGCTGTTGAACTATTGTTAGAATGCTCACTATTGCTGGAAACATCTCTGTCAGTGTCAGCGCAGTCTTGGTCGAAGTCGAGGCTGCTGTTGATGATTGTGATGATGTTGCTCTTCTTGACGCCTACATCTGGTCTGTTGCTGCTGCTGTTGCTGCTGCTGTTGCTGCTGCTGTTGCTGCTGCTGTTGCTGCTGTTGTTGCTGCTGCTGTTGCTGCTGTTGTTGCTACTGAAGTTGTTGGTGGTGTGGCGAAAGCGGCTTTTATTGTCCCTCACAACTGGTATGGCATTGCTCACCAAGTCGAGTTCGTCCCTTCTGTCTCTGGCACAGGCGGAGTTGTTGTTGTTCAGGTTGTGGTTGTTGTTGTTGATGTTATTGATGTTACTATTGCTGTAATAGCTGTCTTCACAAATGTTACCACATCCTCTTCCTGTAAGAATGAACAAAAGCATGTCACATAGTAAAAAAAGGTTGTTTTTTTAGCCCTGAAGAAAAAAAATGATGCCAAGTAATATTGATACTGATTTTAACGCCTTAATGAACTCAACATGGGAAGCCTTTGTGTGGCACGACTTGGTTTGTTTCGTGTTTTACGGCGCTATCTACTAAATGCAGTAAATGTCATGTAAGTGCCAGGAACGATTTAAGATGACTGTTTCATTTAGTAGATCTATGTATCAAGTTTACCATGGATAGTCGTAAACTCATAAAATTCCTGTTAGTGTAATTCTAGGAAAAAAACAACTATTTACATTATCGTAATTCTAAACGCATTTAATTAAAAGAACATTCAAGTGTGTATATTCAGCATTTGAAACAATTTAAATTTTCTTGAAGAGAGCGATGTCTTTTATAAAGTTGATCACACAGCTGGCTGTAGGTTCCACTTCAGATCTAGATGGTGCACGAAAACTCATTCTCTAAAGGACAGGAAGGATAATTATTTTCCCTGTAATAGCTGTGTCGTTGGTGTGTGTGGGGAGTGGAGGGAGGGGGGTTCCACGGGGGTCTCCCCCCCCCCTTAAATGATGTGCAGTAGTATCTAAGCTAACCATATTATGAGACGGGAGTGTTTCTATAAATTTACCCAATAATTTGAAGCATCGTGGTGAAATCAGGCGCTCTCCAAAAACTATGAAATCGAATTTAGATCTAGATCTATACCAGTATTTTTCTGCCGGTTTATTTGTTTGTTGTTTTTTGTTGCTGTAGGTGTTGTTTTAATCTAGATTTTTTAATGTTTTAGATTTCCGCGAGCTAACGCTTTCAACGTTCATTTATAGATACACTTTGGTGTATATATTACTGGAAAAATTTTCATTAAAGGCACAAAAGTGTATTTTTGCTGTTTCCAAAGACACAATACCTTTGGAAGGCACAAAAAGTTGGTGGCAGTTTTCTCGCTAGTTGTATCTCTGACATAGGAGGCTTCTTCCCCCTTTAACCGCAAATTTCCCAACTTCTATTCCAGACCTGAGTATTTTTTAAATTGTTTTTTAAATTTAAACGAACAGTCTTTAATTGCCCAACCTCCAGAAAAAATGCCAGTTTCTATGATTTCATTATTTTGACAAGAACCTCATTTCACCACGATGACTCACCTCTATGCGGTCCAATCGCCACATTGTCCACTCTTGTCCTGGCCGGTGTGTTCCCAACGTCCAGTTGTCGGTCTCCTCTTCTTAGTGAGTCCATTTTTATAATACGCTCACTGCAGGTTCTATTCCTTTAAAAAAAGGTAACCATTTTTATAATACGCTCACTGCAGGTTCTATTCCTTTAAAAAAAGTAACCATTTTTATAATACGCTCACTGCAGGTTCTATTCCTTTAAAAAAAAGTAACCATTTTTATAATACGCTCACTGCAGGTTCTATTCCTTTAAAAAAAAGTAACATCTGGTACAAAGATCAGCAAAGTCACTGTTGCAATTGTATTTTCTTCCTTCTGGCTTCCGAAACGAGCAATCACCCCAATGCAATAAAGGAGGGACATTTGAGTGGGATATGTCAAAGATAGGGCTAAGTGTTTTGTTGTGCAATAAAAGAAAAGGTAAAGAAAGTAAACTGGTTTTGTGTCGTTTTGTGTTCTCTTGCCTTCCTTTTTCTCTTCTCCTGGAACGTGCATTAGTGATATGTTAACGTCTGAAAGCATACACAATATGACATGAGTAGAAAAATCCGCATGCGAGGATACCGTGATTCAAACCTGTGGTGAGTGAGAGAAGCAAGCATGATTAGTAATCCAAAAGCTTCCCACTAAATCTAGATTTAGATCTATGCCAAATGGCTGATGATACCAGCAGTGGGTCAGAAATGATTTTTTAGACCCTACTCGAGTAAAGTGGGGGAAGTGCATCTGATAATACCTTGTCACACCTTGTCCAGTGTTCGGGTCACTACAGTCTTAACATGTCCTTCTCTGCTCTCCCCCCTCA